TTATCAACAGACGCATGTGTAAAATACATTAATCTCTGTTAATAGAGTCACCCAGATCCACTTTATTAATTACTCAATTTTTTCAACAATTTCAAAAGGAAAAATGATAAACGACAATTCGTTTTATTTATCACTGGCTGACAATAACATCAAGGCGTCTGGAATGAAGATTCTGATGAATTAAAAGCATTTCCAGGCACTCATGAAAATCAAACAAAGGGAGAAATGTCATGAATTCTAATTTTCCATTAGAACAAAAAGCATCGTGACTGAGATCAAAGGATTATCCATTAGATTCAGTTCGCCCTCACACGCTAATTGCCCTCTAAAACCTAATCTCACAATCTCAAGTGATTTTGTCCTATTGTTCATACCAAAACCACTGAATAGCACTCACCAAAATGCCTCATATTTTCATTAACATTGTTGGATTTATTACAGTACCCTTTCTTTTTAATTTAACAAATTTTTAATAAGAATTTTTCCAAAATAAATTTTCCTTTTTCATCATTTTCATAAGCTGTACGGCGAAAACCGATAACACTTTTCATCACATCTAGATATTAAAAGGAATATTAATTGTTGCTAAATGTTTACATTAAACAATCATTAACGAATATGAGACTTGCAAAACCTGCCAACATTCTGGAACCGCTGAAAAATTTGTGTGGAATAGCTTCTTCCACCGATGAAAGTAAAAAAATGGGGGTTACGTTAGATAGTAAAGAAAATTGGCAATCTCGGACGATACATCTGGTCTTGCACGTTATCCTAACCAATCAACTGCTAGAACGTGCACGAGCGATTTATAAATGGACGGCAAAAGGATAGACGTTGGGTGATGGTGGTAAAGAGAAATGGGGATGAAAGGATCGACGAAAAGGCGAGGAAGACGAATTGACGACATTGTCTGCCAACCAACATCCGACGTGTTCCATACATCAAATCAATCCCTTCATCCCCCCCCCCCCCCCCTACTTTTATTCCCGCCCCCTTAACCCGCAACATTTTAATTTAAGGTAGAGGCTGAAATCAATTATATCGAGTGAGATATAAGTAGTCCTTGAGAATTCAAGTGATAACGCCGAAGAAACGCGGCACTAATTAACAGCACCGGAGTTATATGATGTAGCGAATGGGTGAGAGGTGTAGGAAAGGGAATGGAATAAGATGAAAAGGGAAATACACCGGTACAAGTCTTAAGGCAGTGCTTGTTATCCCTTGGGGAATTCAGCGACGGTGTGTTGGAAGAATTAACAGCAACCCCTGATCTTGTAGCCCTCTATGCTATCTCTCTAATAATAAACTGGCAATTCCCAATGCTCCTATAAGTTACACCCTTTCGACACCCACAATGACCTATGAGTACCAAGACCTATCTGTCTATGCCCTCCATGATTCGCCAGGTTGTCGTTTCAACTACTCCTGTTATCGTCATATGATACGACAATGAGAAGTCACTTGGGTAACCAATTTCATTCGTTTCCCGAAATTCTTGCTGGATGTTGTCCTGCTCTTTGTTACGCTCGTTATTGCCAAATCATTTTGTGGGGTAGTTTTGTAGATGACGGGTTTCATTATTCAGATTGGATCTAGGGATGAATTTTAAAATGAACCTCTTGCTCATTACTTATTGTATATTCAAGCAACATATAATATGTCACCGAAACGAACAATATTATCGATTATCTATTTTTATTATCGTCTAGACAAAAAAAACGACGCGAAGGTTTGGACAGTAACTGATGGAGAATGCACTCCTGAGGAATAGTTTAAACGATTTGAGGATTGATTTAACATTTTTGAGAAAGTTTTCATTACTGATTATAATGTTTTATCGTGTGGGGTTGTCAATTCGATATTGCGAAAAAAATAGGTCTTACGTTCCCGTGGTGGAATCGACTAGCGCGTTCGGTCTAGCAACCGAAAGATTGGTGGTTCGAGCCCACCCGGGAACGTTCATTTTTCATTATTTTAATCATGATAAAGATTTTCCTCATAACATATAATATAATCATATAATATGTCGTTGATAGTCGTCAGACATATGGAACAATATTTCCGGCAAGTAAGGAGCGTAATAGTAATGCCAATGGATGGAAGGCTTCCTTCTCGTCTTGTGTAACATAAAGTAGCTTTTAGTGCACACGAAGTGGGCCTCAAACACCCGTTTTTACCCATTGTGTTAAAAACATCATTCACTACTCCTATGAAAAGGGTTGCTTGGCATGTCCTTCCTATTCTAAAAAGGACAAACATCGAGACTATCGATATCTCGAAAGTCTGTCACGCTTACTCCTCATTGGTTCAGTCGTCTGAGGCGGCTGATTTGAATTTGGAACTCATTTAAATTAACTATTTTTAATCATGATTTTTGTAATTACTGCACGCTGTAGCGCGTGTTCGTTCTCGTGTTATAAATTTTGCATACGTCAAGAAATGATAGTCGCTGATATCCTCACCCCGTACCGAAAAGTGCTTTTTCTTTCAATCTGTGCGAAAAGTCTCAAATAACTCACGTTCCGCGCTCGTTATTTTCGAGTCTTCAATATTTTGATATAACATATCATTCAATACGTTCGCAAAAAATGTTATTGGCCATCACATCGTATTATAAACCTCCCACGAACCGAAAATACATTTTTCAGCACATGTATAGAAAATCATTATTTCGGCGCGACGTGAATGTACTTATGATATGAAAAGACGCCAGCACACTTCAAGAATCCTGATCGGTTTTTGAAAAATTGATAATATTAAAAGTTCACGATATGGTCTCTGGATGCTACTTTTGCCATTTCAAAAACATTCTAAAATAGAGGACCAATTCGATTCATAATCTACCAGAAAATCTGACATATGGGATGTTCACGTTGACTTCCTACATTTACAATAGCGGTACCCAGAAAAAATTGATATATACCTGACTTAGATCACTATCACGTGATATGTGATATTTTATTATTTCCCATAGTATGATTGCCGGATAATGCGAATATTTGAATTGGTGCCCCACATCTGTCATTGTCACATTCATTTTGAATCCGAGAGCATATGATTCAGATGAAAACCCTGATCATCTGCCGTTTGTAGTGCGTGACACCTAATCTTTTATCTGTATAGTATTCCGCCGAAGTAACATTAAACTATTGAATTATTTCTCATAAATACAAAAGCACGCACCGATGAGGAAAGTGAATACTACCGATGGGACTTATACTTGTGACCCAGGGCGAACGAAATTACCCGTTTTTTTTCAATTACTCACTATCCGGAATTTAGTAAAAACAAATGAAAAAGTTATATAACGCGTACATCGGTTGTATCAGTGAAAAGAACATAAAATAGTAGTGATTAAAAAAATCTTTCTGCTAAACGTTTCAATGATGAACAATGTTATTATTATATTTATTTCCCATGAAAGAGATCAGTGAACGGTCCTCAAGAGTTCCGACTTCACCTTGAAGACCGCCCAGTAACCTAAGTGATACAAACTAGTCCTAACCGCCCTATAGTAGCGCTCCCTCCAACCAGAGGGTAAGCCCTACTGCAGCCCAGAAGAATCCCGAGTGGAAAATTAGCTCATGTCTGGATCACGTTGGGATCAAGTCAGACGTGATGTTAGGTCAGGTACTGATCCTACAACTAGATCAGGACTTGATCAAGCATGTAACGCCTTGACTCCATCCGGATTTGATCAGGCGTGCCGAATCCGGGTTTGATCAAACAAAACAGATTAATCCTTGATAACCGAAATTAATAATATTTTTCACGCCTAGGACGGAAAAAGTGAATCTGACGAATGCGGCTTTATAGTCCGAGCCGCAGGCAAGGATTGAGACGCGACAACTTCAGGTGAGATTGATCTGATCAGAATCTGATTCGACTAGAGTAATTACCGGCGGACAGCTCAATTTCAGATCAGATTGACCTGATCAGAACCTGATCCGAATGGTTGCAGGCGGGCGAAGTCAGTTCAGGTTCAGACCCACCTGATCGGAACTTGATCAGAATGATCACAGATGAGGGAACCACAGGTTCAGATCAAGCTCACCATATCAGAACCTGGTCAGAGTAGTACAGATAAGGTTGGGTAAATCAAAGACTGATCAATTTCTTATCAAGTTCTGCATGATCAGTTGACACTGACCATCGCCATATCAAGTTCTGATTAAACCTCAGGCTCGCCTGACATAATTTCCACTCGGCCTAAGTAGTCGGAGAGACGCAAGAATGACAGCCTTCTGTATCTGCCCAGCCAATACTACAGCCAATACACTGTCAGCATTCTGTTTATCTCATAAGAATTCCGCAAATGATAATACAACACTCTCAAAGCCGCATTATGCCGATGGATGTAACTCGTGATTGCTAATTATTATTATTTTATTCTCATGAAATAGATCACTGGACGGTCCTCTTATTATTATTATTGTTATTATTATTATCATAAAGCTTATATAATCTGGAAAAAATTTATTATATTGTTTATAACCGAAGATTGTAGAACAGTGAAATTCTGAAAATACATTTCACATATTTTCAAGTTGTAAAACCGTTGAACCGCATTAATACCCGTGTAACATTCATGGACTCCCAACCATGAAATTAACCCATCAAATATCTCTCAACCCGGTTTTTGTATTTATTGCCATTTCAATCATAAGCTCATTGTCTAAAGAGCAGCTATAAACTTGGCAAAATTTCAACGCGGCGCCGTGGCTTAGTTGGTTAAAGCGCCTGTCTAGTAAACAGGAGATCGAGGGTTCGAATCCCTCCGGGGCCTCAATTGAAATCCTTGACGAAGGGTTGCACAAATTTTTTTCCACTGTTCCAACAAATAAATGAACATTGAATGTAAGTATGTCCGAGGAACAACTCACGCACAGAGTAAATTTCGATAAACTTTTACTCTGGTAATGTAGACTTCTGTGGTACTGGTAATTCGTGAATCGAGTCTTTGGTATTTGGCGCTGGTGGCAGTTGCGAACAGCTGATTACCGGCTGCGCACTCCGTTACTGTATCGTCCACACGTACGCGTTGTGTCTGATGTGTTTTTCATATACAAGCAATACAGTTTTTTAAACAATGTGTTCGGTAACTGATCCACTTCGACTGAATGATAACCCGTTGTTTAAGGAACTTAAAGATGGATTGCCCAAGAGTGAGAAAGAGACGATGAACATTCTTGAAATTCGAGATGATATTTTGTTCGTGTGGAATCCTGATAAGTGTTGTGTTTTTACCCTCAATGTTGCCGCTCAGCGAGGAAAAACCGGCGAGGAAATTCCATTTCAAGTGAGTAAATCAATGCAGTATTTGATTGTAAAGTGGTATCAAGTGTTCAGCTCACTTAGGCTTAGGTTAAGCACTGTTTTGTCAGAGAGAATTAGATTTTATACGTGAATTGCGAGGTGATTGTCTGGGGGAATTGGAGTAAACATAACCCCAACCTCGTGGCCGTTTAGTTATCGCGCATGTATCTGTTAATACGCGGGAAACTCGTCGGTCGATACTAGTTGTTTTGTAAGAATCTATTTTGATAAACAGAAAATGAAATATCATTGCCATTACTGGCCATTATCAGTCAGAGAAATTGATCAGTTTCGAGGATGGAGCTGTTTCCATGGATGGTTTAAAATTTTTGTTAAAAAAGAAAGTAATTGGTCAGGATTGACCTTGTGGTACTTTTAGACAAAATATTTCCATTTATTTCGGAAATTTCGTAGTTTTCTTAAGAATTAGAAGGAAATCTTATTTCTAATTACAAGAAGTCTAATAAAGATTTTACCCAATAATGTTTAAATCACTGCGTTCTCTGCTGCTTGAATGGAGTTTTTTCTCCTGAAAAATAAAATTCACTATGTACTATGTAGTGATTGCTAAACACAGTGAAGGAGAACGGTAAACAAATATGAACCGAAAAAAGCTGGAAATCAAAAATAATAGAGAGGAAAAGACATGAGAAGAAAAAGAATATAAAAATAATCGATAATAAAGAGAGCAAACTAATAGGTCACTCAGCAAAAAGGTGAAAAGAAGGAAAATATCGTAATAGGTCCGAGAATGCTGAAACCCTGAAACGTTAAAACGTTTTGGTTGGGTCACTATTCGTCGGTTCGAGTAACTAAACCATACACCAGTGCTTTTATTTCATTTCAATGGGTTCAACTGAGTTGGTATGGGGATCAGCGAGTACATTAATGCCTCGACGACCATTGCTGAGTAAAAGAGCGGTAAGGGGATAATTTATAGGAAATGGGTTGTTCGACGCTCCGGAGTAATTTAATTAAAATAAATGTCCTCCCTTCATATGAAGGCACCCACTCCCTCCTCTCTCACACGGAAAAGAGAGGTTTGGGAGTATTCCTGGACCACTGCGAATAAAATGCAAATTCAGACCCTTTCCGAGATCTGAACCTCATATCCATCCAACCAGGGGGAAATGAGGGGAATACCACCTATTCTCACGTAGGTCAACACCCCTATAGCTAGTGATTATCCAGAAAGGCAAAATCCATTTTAAAAATCAGCCCCTGATGACGAGGTAGAAATAGTATATTGTGTTTTTGTCTTTTTCCAAGATACACCCGGTCCGTGACGTGCACACATATTTCCGATCGTACAAGTCCTCAGTCCTAAACTTTGTACCGCAATGTATTCCCTTTCAGAATACTTATAGTTCTCCCAATTCCTTATTCGATAGTAATTGTCAAATCTCGTTGAATCCAACGCCATGAACAACTTGGAGAATCCTCTCTCAACCCCTGTTGACTGGACCGTCACTTCGATAAGACTCCGAACTTTCCATTATTTTCCCGAGACTCCCATGAATAAAGCAAAAATTGGCCTTTTCACTGGGTAAAAAAAGTTTTTCCAACTTGAAGAGTCTATCAAAGTGAATAAACGTGGCTCGAGAGGTAGAGAAAAGTGGGTGGCAATGGGTGGCAGGGGTTGGAAGGGGGTGGAAGGAGATGGATTATAGGAGTATGAGCGTTGGGGGTAGATGAGGAGAGGGATGAAGAGTGATAATACGACTTCCGGCAAGGGCATTAATACCCGCGAGTCAACTGAAATATCACTCGTAAATAATAAAAGTTAGCGGTTGGTGTTCCTCTAGCGACGGTAGTGCGGCGAGGAGTCTAAACCGGAAGATAGGTGTCGTGGCCACGGCACAGAAAGAGAGAGGGCTTTTCGGTGTGGGGTAGTGAGGTTTTTGGGGGAGGTTGAGAGGTGGTTGGGTGGAAAAAGGGGGTGTCGACGGAAGGGGGAGAGAGTGGAGACAAAGACGCGCCATTGTCAACCGCTCCACCATCGGAACCGGCATCCACCGCGGGAAACTTTGAATCATTTTTATTGCATAGAGTTATCTTTGTTAGCAGCGGAACGAACGTCTAAACGCGCTCACTCCATCCTTCCAACGATCCTCCATTCGCCACCCCCTTTATCCCACCTTCTCTTTTTCATTCTCCATGTACCTTTGCCTTCCTACTACCTCTTTTCGTCCAGTCAAATCATTTTAGCTTCTCCACTAGCTTTTCCCCTCGCTTCTCCACTTTTTGGCACACTCCAAACCGTTATGCCCTCGCTCTCTCCTCCCCTCACTCCACCCGACATAGATAATACCCCAGGCGCATTCACACCCCTTTGGACGGCGCAAATGGAATAACTTCTTTAATTTGGGAATTTACCGTTTGTTATCGGTGGAATAAATCTTTCGTTGTGGTTATCGGGTGAATTTAATTCTTGGAAATGAAATAGAGGAGCCACCACATCACAATTCAGACCTTCACTGGTACACTGATCACTGAAAAATTAACTGCCTCGTAGACAAGAGAAATTTTTACAAGTATTTG